AAAATATTTGGTACCTAGGAGTGGGCTTGGTACAAGTTCTTCTGTCCTGGTAGATCCTGCTTTGAGGAGGGTATTTGAAAATCAGAGAGGTTGTGTGATATCATGGGACACACCTCAGCTTCATTTTCACTGGTACTGTGTGTGTCCTGTCCCTCAGTTTATGTATTGGCATGGGAACTCCCTCCTCTCTTCACATTGTGGTGTGACCATATTTGTCTAGTCACAGTATTTGTATACATTTAACAAATAAATGAGAGGATACCTAACCATTTTTTTTTCTCTAAAAACTCAAACTTCTTTTTTGTAGTTGTCACTGTTTTCACGGACACCTAAAAAATATGTATACGGTATTATGGATAGAATGTCTAGGGAAATGGGGTATCTTTGCTTCAATTTTGACTTCTAATAGTATTGCATGAAGTAAAGTGGGTTTTGTTTCCCTAGGCATCTTCCTATTACTCCATTTCCTGGGATGGTTCTATATGATAGTGAATTGGTGTCCCGATTTACATAAGATAACATTCAGAATTTCTGTGGGAGGATGTGTGTAGAGGCCATTGATATTTTCTCATGTAATATAGAGGTCAGAAGACGGCCACACACTTATCCAAAGTCACCCAGCAGATGGAGAATTTGATTTTTCAGTGCTCAGTCTAGTGCTTTTTAGAGTTCAGAATAGTTTATAATATTTGGAACTAGGGGGCCTGGTGCACAAATTTGTCTAGTCACATATTTGTATACATTTAACAAATAAATGAAAGGATACCTAACCATTTTTGGAGTACCTCCATGAGTGGGGTCCCTCGGCCTGGCCTGCGGGATCCGGCCAAAACCAGCTCTCCAACATCCCCCGAGGGGTCCTGGATTGCGAGAGGGCACAGGCCAGGCTAAGGGACCCCACTGGTGCACAATTGGAGCCAGGGATGGACGCAGGAGTTTGGCTAGCCAGGGAGGGACCGCGGGAGGGCTCCAGAGCATGTCCGGCCTGTTTTGCTCACTCCCAATTGGCCAACCCCAGCAGCAAGCCAACCTACTGGTTAGAGCATCTTCCCCCTGGTGGTTAGTGCATGTCATAGCAACTGTTCAACTAGTTGACAGTCTGCCCCCTGGTGGTCAGTGCACGTCATAATAAGTGGTTGAGTGGCCTTAGCATATCATTAGCATATTATGCTTTGATTGAACGGACAACTGGACACTTAGCATACTAGCCTTTTATTATATAGGGTAAGAGTATTATTCTATTGGCCCAGTGCACGAATTTGTCCACCTTGAAAGGAACTGTGGGTCACGAGGCTCCGGTGGGCGCAGGTGGGTCTTGGCCCAACACCTGCACCTCACCTGGCCCCTCCTGCCACAGCCCCCAGTATCCTGTCTGTTGGCAGCACCGCTCCTGCCGCCACTGCTCCCACACGCTGACGGCACTGGCCTCACTCACGCCTACTGATGGCACAGAGCAATTGGGGCTGGCGCCAGCAGTGGGTACGAGTGGGGCCGGCACCGTCAGTGGGTGTGAGCGGTGGCTGCTGCCCTGATCGCCCCTTAGAAGTAGGGGGAGGTGGAGAAGCCCTCACGGGCTATCAGGGCCAGTAGCCGCCGCTTGCACCCGCTGCCGGTGCTAGAGCTGCCGCTCTCACCTGCTGCCAGTACCAAGTGATCGAGGCTGGCGCCGGGTGCCAACGGCGCCTCCGGTGCTATCAGCAGATGCGAGAGGCGGCTGCTGGCTCCGGTAGATCCTTAGAATCAGGGGGTGGAGGGGTGGAAAAGCCCTGAGAGGCAATTGGGGCCAGCAGGTGCGAGTGCCAGGTGGGACCGTGGTGCATGGGAGCAAAGAATTTTCAGTAACCACCAGAGACTCGCCCTAATGACAGCAACGGCTCCCTGCCTTGGTCTGGTGACCCTGTTTGCCTCCACCATCCTGCTGTGGCCCATGTCCACCATGTTCCGTGCTCTGCCTCCTGCTGCCAACTCTTGCCATGTTCTGTGCACGCCCCCTGGTGGTCAGCACACATCATAGCGACTGGTTGTTTTGCCGTTCGGTCTTTTTGCATATTAGCCTTTTATTATATAGGATGGTCATGGTGAGTTAGAGATTCCTGTGAACTTCTCAGACTTAGCATTGATTTCTGTATTTGGTTCTTAATCTTTGTGGAGAGGATTATGTGACATTTTAAATACTTTTCTACGTGGCAGTACCATTCTAGAAATGCCATGTCTGTTTCTTTGTAGGTATGAGGCATGCCATATATGACAAGCTGGATGATGATGGTCTGATAGCTCCCGGGGTCCGTGTATCGGGAGATGATGTTATTATAGGCAAAACAGTCACCCTGCCTGAAAATGAAGATGAGCTGGAGAGCACTAATAGACGCTATGCCAAGAGAGACTGTAGCACTTTTCTCAGGACTAGTGAGACAGGCATTGTGGACCAGGTTATAGTAACTCTCAACCAGGAAGGATATAAATTTTGTAAAAAAAAGGACCTC